TATATATATATATATATATATATATATATATATGGAGGAGATTTTGGAGTAAAGTTTAGGCTTTATTAAGGAAGAACACTACTTTGCCAAGTCTTGTCTGCTGAGCCTTCCGGCATTCAATGGAAAACTCAATTATTAGAAAATTAGAAATAAAACAAAGTTTGAAACATAAAATCTGCAACTCTCAATTAAGATGTAACTGATTACTCATCATGCGTTGCTAACAAGTGTTACATGATGCCCTCGGCTTCCTTGGGTGTTCAGACGCCTTTATGCATGTATGCAGCATGGACTAGTGAAGTCATAGTTAATAAAAGTGCAGCTGGAAGTCACCTACAGCACACATAGTGTCTGGTGGTGCAGAGGGCCACTCCTTGCCTGAGTTCTGAATGTCTGAGTGCCCAGTATCACATGTACGCAGCTAAGTGGGAATGGAAGTGTATTAAATCTGTTTGAACCGGATACAAGATACTTGGACGTGTAAATGGGACAAGAGATGTAATGGGTAATTGCTCATATTGGTATCAGATATCATTTTGGTTGTATCTGTGTACTGATAATGCTTGTCCCTGTCTCTTTAGGTCAGGTGTACCAGCAGTACCAGGCTCCAGGTGGATACCCGCCTCAGCAACCAGGTGCCCCACCTCAGCAGCAGCAGCAGCAGCCGTACGGTATGCAGTACTCTGGTAAGAGTAAAAATGGTCAGAATATTAAAAGAAAATAAGAGGTATCTGCTGTGTTGGGCTCTCAAGGATGAATGATAGAGACTCTATTCCTTCCTCCCTCTCTCTGCAGGATACAGCACTCAGCCCGGAGCCCCTCAGCCTGGCCCACCACAGCCGCAGCAGCAGTTTCAGAACTACGCTGCTCCCGCCTCCCAGGCTCCAGTCTCCGGTCCAGCTCCAGCTCCGGGCTTCCAGAGTGGCCAGCAGCAGCAGCAGCAGCAGCAGCAGCAGCAGCAGCAGCAGCAGCAGCAGCCCCAGCCCCATCCATCTCAGGGAGCCCAGCAGTATCCACCAGGAGCCTTCCCTCCCCAAAACTATACCTCCCAGGCCACCCAGCCTGCCAACTACAGCATCCCGCCCGGCTCCCAGCCCGCCTCAGGATACCCAGCCCGCCCAGGATACACCCCGCCCCCAGGCAACACTGTCACCCCTCCACCAGGAGCTGCTAACCCGTATGCCCGCAACCGCCCCCCTTACGGCCAGGGCTACACTCAGCCAGGCCCTGGGTACCGGTAAAAGAGGATAGCGGGTGTTACTGATCCACACAGCCTCCCCCCCCCCCGCCCCCCTAACCCCTCCCCTATGTGTGGCTCCAACTGTTTTGAGTGGGTGCAGGAAACATGGTTCACGGCTCTGCATCCATCCCCCCTCACTGTCCCATACAAATATCAAGTCCAAATATAAAACAAGACCCCCCACACTCCCCAGTCTGATGGTCAGTGTCTGTATGCTGACTCTCCAGCACACTGCTCTGGCCCTGGTGTATGGTCCTTGTGTTATTTCCCCCTCTTTTCCCGTCACCCACCACTACTGTCTGCTCTTCCCTCTTGTATCTGTAAAAATGTAATCCGTCTGTATGCACACATCCGGGAGACCAAAACAGGCTGTCGCACAAACAGTTTGTTCTTGTCGCGGTAGCTCTTCATAAGCGACTGAGATCAGCGTCCACGCTCTGCATTCGCGTCGCACATGTCGACGACAAACATCTCAACCGGTTGTGTCGAGATGCACTCATAAGACACTATCTAAATGAAAAGTTGCCCTTTTTGTCGTTTGTTTTTTGTCAGTTTGATTTGTTGTTTCTTCTTGATTTGATCAATTTCACCACCATGTCGGTATTGATGATGTGTCAATGAAACTGCCCCATGTTGGGAACACTAGCTAAGTGATGGCTTATGGGAGGTGTTGATCCCAGAGTCATGAAGAAGGCTTCTTTTGTTTAGCTAATTATATCATCTCCAGTAAAGCTTGCTATTCCTCTCTTTATCTTATCACTGGTTTTTATTAATAAATCAAATTCCACCCTCGAGTGAGATTAGTTGTTTATGTATAAACTGTAACATTTTTTTCTTGAACCTAATAAATGATTGAGACCCATTTGGAGTCCCTTTTTATCTTTTTGTTTGATATTGAGTTGCTCTTGGCCCGCGCATTGTTTTGCTGTCTTCCTCACTATTCGGGTTCTGACTGATTCTTGGCTCCTCTTCTCTCCTGTTCTCTCCCACCAAGATTTGGAAAACGGTGGTAATGCTGGTATTACTATTTAGTTTTCCTCCCTGAGGAATTGTGGTTGGCTGGGACATGTGGCATGAGAATATGTGGTTGGTATTTCATGTCAAAATTGTCTCATTGAGTGAAAAGGAATTAAGCACATAGGGGTTATTAGATAATTTAGATAAGTATGTTTAGCTTTGCTCTTCGGCTAGTCTGTGCCAAACCAAAATCTCCTTTAGGTGTAAATAGCAATGGCCACAATGTTTGGAATTTATTAAACTGATTAATGTCTACCACATTACATTCTTCATTCTCATTCATCCATTTAAGAGCAGAAGTTAAAGGTCCAGTCGAGCACTGCGAGCTAACGGTGCACGTTCAATGATTGGCGACTGAATGTGCTACACGGTGAACGTGAGCCCTGAGCTAGTCGCTCTTTTGAGATTTCCCAAAATGTCTACGTTTACCATAATCATACAATGCATTTAAATCAAATGGAAATGAATATCAGTAAATAGAAAAAAACAAGATTTATTGCTGGAAACATGGTGCATCAAGAATAACTGCAGTTGTGACAGATGTGGAAAAAACCTGACTCCAATGATTTAAAGCTTTATGTACACTTTAGATAGTTTGAACCCAAAAACATGAATTTAGTCATTACTTACAGTATGTCTTTTCCACATTGACCCTTGGTTCAATCCTACTTTTTCATTTGTATTACATTTTTTTTCTTCATAAAAGACAGGACAAGACTGCATGAGCATTATAAATGCATACATCTTTCCAAAAGGCCCCATAGAAACATTGGGCTCAAGCTTTGGCTTTCTTACAATAGATTAACAATTTGGCTAATAGCTGTTTTATCTCTTACCTGAAATATAGCAAACTATATGATCCCTGGTATACATAATGAATTTCACACCATATACTGTACATATATGAACAAAGGTATAATACTGTGCAAACTGCAACTGCTAATAATCCCGTAGAGCCAGCAGAAGGTCAATTCTGCATGTCTGTGTGTATTTGTATTTTACAAAGTCCAAATGTACAATGAAAGTGTGATTGGCACCAAAACGTGTGTGCTCATTAACATGCAGGTATTGGGAACAATTTTTACTTTTTTCATCTCAAAAGCCCGAGCACACACAGAATAATCAATAACGATCCCCTTTGATAAATAATATCATACACGTTATTACACTTTGGGAGCCAGCTTCCCAACTTTTTCTCTGGAATTACTGTATATTCAATATTTTGGTTCAATCAGACTCCTGCATTCCTTTGTTGAACGCATTTTTGATAAATAGAGAAATTAGGCTAATGTTACAAATGCACTCAATAGAGTTTTGTGACACAATAGTCCTGTACAGGTTCATACCTGGGAGAGTAGGCTGAGTTCAAACCCATCAGATAGACCTATCTACATTGTTCCACGGTAACAAGAAAGAAAGGCCCACCTCCCTTTAGGCCTAGTCAGGCATCTTCTTCCTCCCCACCAACAAAGTCCTCCTTCCTGGACAGCCCTGTGGGATCTTACCACTTCCCAGGAATGGGTGTGCCACACTCGTACCAGCCCACATAGGTAACGTGTGACTTCCCTCCAATCTCTCCAAAGTGGACAGGTTCTTGTCTCAGCGCCCTATAGAATCCTGGTACATTACAAAGACACAGAGGAGAGTATAAGAGTCCACATGATTAAAGACTTGATTTCTTTATGGTTGTGACTAACCAAAATACCTGGCCTGCTTGGTAGCTGGTCAGCAAACATCTGGGTGCCAGTTCGTCCATCCAGAAAAGAGTCCACAAATTGACAGTGGTCCTCACCATGCCCCGTCTGATCTCCTATGTTGTAAAACTTCCCTATAGAGAGGGAAAAGGAAGTAGATTTATGGCTATGAAAATATATCCAGTGACAGTATAGTATGTCATAAAAAATGTCAATGTACACTATGTCATAAAAAATCTCAAGATATGTTACACTACACGATGTCAAAAATGTTATAGTATAGCATGTTATTAAAAACTCATAGTATAGTATGCCATAAAATAAATGTAAAAATGTCAGCATAGTATGTGATAAGATATGTTTATGTCATAGTATAGCATGACGTAAATATGTCATAATATAGTGTGCCATAAAAACTATGCCACAAGAAAAATGAGAGAATCATTGAATTGTATGTATGTCGTAAAAAATATCATGTCACGAAAATGTCATATTATAGTGTGTCATAAAAGTTATAGTATATTATAATGACGAAATGTCATTATATAGAGTAGAGTATGCCATACAAATATGTCATAAAATAATGGAAAAAAATGTGTCAGAGCATATTATGTCATTAGAAAAATTGTATAGTAGATTAGATCATCCAAAATATGATCAAAAATGTCATAGTATAGTATACCAATGCCATTAAAAACGTCCTTAAAAGATGTTATGGGACAGTCTGTCACACTATAGTATGCCATAAAAATGTCCTTTATATTTTTTTATAGTGTACTATGTAATAAGAAAAGTTTTAAAAATGTCATAGTATGGCATGTCATAACAAATGGCATCGTATACTAGAAATGCAGCGACACGAGTCAGTCTGTAACTACCATTGAGAGAGTCGCTCAGGTAGATCTTGTATCTCAGGGAGTTGCAGAGCTGGATTCCCACAAACTTTCGGTACCAAGTTCTCTTCACATACTGCTTTCCATTGCATTCAGAGTAGTCATCGGATTTAAATGGGAACTGAGTCCAGATGGCATCTTTGCCTGTGAGGAAATCATTAGAAGCACCGGCGTAATGTAATGTTTGTTATCTGTTTAAACAGGAACATTCAACAGCTTCATTTAGCTGGAACACACTAGAAAAAAGACGATATTCACCTGACACGTGTTCGCTCACTCGTGGATCCGCTACAAACAAAACAAAAAGTTGCAATGAATCACGTCGTAAAAAACCTTTTAGAATTAACACAGTCATGAGACATCTTGAATCATCGTGCTCGATAAATTTAGTTTTGTTTAGAACGCGTCCTGGTGAATGATTTGCCTCAGTGAGCCTCGGAGGACATCTTGACCCGTGAGTCTTAGATCAGTCAGACCCCAGTGCCATATTGAAATTGTTAGATTAACATCTGCTTAACAACCCACTCTTTGAGATTCAAAGCAATATTAACAGTGGTATTTTACCATACAACTAATTGGTCTCTTCTGTCAGAGCAAACATCAGGGTTTATCAGGAATTTCCTCTAGTATGGCTGTAATGGATTATGTGGTTTGTAAAACTTGCCTGATTCTGTGCTAAAAGACACAGGATCACTGGAGGGTCCTGTTCCCATCTCATTCTTTGGTGTTACTGTGAATTCATAACTGAAATAAAGTAGAAAAAAACGAATAAAAGGCATAATCCATACTTGAGGAGTTTTCATTCTAAATTCCTCCCAAACCTCCAGAACTGGGACGCAAAATAAAATTTTCATTCCTTTGACAGCTAAGAATGGGTCTCTCACACACACATACACACACGCGCACACACACACACACACACACACACACACACACACACACACACACAC